TTTCAATATATTCATTTTGCATTATCTATGTTTGAAATAATATAGTGCGAACGGCCAGCTCTTTATCTGAATCTTACATTATGCCTCTTTAATTAGTTTCTTAATCATTCACTCAAAATGAATGATTAATAAGCACAGAACATATTTTTATCTTGTGACCCCATGACCTCTCGTATTATGATATCAATTAAAGATATTTATACTTGCCTGAAGGATGATGTGAAATATTTTATATATTGTCATACTATCTTTACTCTCATCAATTATTGAAGAAGAAACTTGCTTGTGTATTCTTCATTAATTACAGGTAGGCCGTATACTTCACCGTTAATTATGGGGAACCGCTGTGGCTCAGTGAGTAAGACACTGGCTAGCTAGCCTGGAGGTCTCGGGAGGGCAAAATTTCCCTCATAGCACACTGTATGGCATATGCCCATATCTTCATTAGCCCATTCGGAGCAGAACAGAAGGACGTTAACCCTATTTCATTTAATTTCATACGCTTGATTTATAAATATCTTATTCAGGTAAGATTTGCGGGCAAAGTTTCTCCAGATTTTTCAGCGTGTTTTCTTCTTGTCCGTGGTGCAGGACGTAGGACCTGGCAAAGGATCCATGTCTGGTTGTTTTGATGGAAGAAATACTGTACACGTGGGTGTCAAAAAAAGAATTCAATGAAACACAACTGTCCACGCAAAATTTCCTTCTTAAGACACTGTATAGCTAAAGCTAATCTTCATTAACCTGGCTAGTGCAGGAAACTAAGACATTAAACCCTATTTCATTTCATTTTAGTATAACTCATTCCACATCATCAATAGATACAGACTAGGGGGGTACAGAAAAGTAAGAGGTATGCTCATAGGCATACGGGGAATTTTTTGACTGGGGGGGCGGTGGTGGTTGGTGCCCAAAAAATGTAGTTAGGTTCTTAGTATGTTACATAATAATAATAAATTTGCTGTTAAATTGGACACATTCAAGAACACAATATTTTTTTATACAACTTTTACAAAGTACAATTGTGTGCCCAAATTTTCCCAGCATTTGGTGCCCAAAATGGGGGGCGGACGCCCCCCCCCCCCAGCTCGTACGCCTATGGGTATGCTATTGCTAGTTTTCATTAGCCCAGTTGGTGCAATAAAGTCAACCATTAAATCTCATTTCCAATTCATTTCCTCTTGTTGTCTGTAAAAATTCTGTACTATGACCCATGTCATGTCAACCTATAACAGTGTTAAAATGATTAATGTGCACTTTTCTGACCAACTAAACACCCTGTTTATATCTTTTTAACTTAATTTATTCATACGTGAGACTATTACCATATTTAACCTAATAAATAGCTGTTACAGACTCAATCTAAATATATCAGCATTTAAAGGAGGCAAGTCTTTAACTCAATATCATCTAAAGTCTCCAATATTGCAAACACGACGTATTGATCAGTTTACATCAACATTGATTTTGTTATCTCACCGTGAAAAGATGGGCTTCTGATATGCAAATAAAAAAGTTGACGTTGAAGTTGATATCCAATATTTAAGACAGAATGGAAATTTTAAAATCAGCACAGAATGCTTTTGAGTACCATTTTTAATTAAGCAACTCGATGAATGGGGCTAAACACATCCCATAACAGAATACTACCTGTGTAGACTGGAATAACCAGATTAGAAATTACTGTGTAGACTGGAATAACCAGATTAGAAATTACTGTATAAACTGGAACGATTGAATGTAAATCAGTTTATATACATTCATAGTACATTATTATATGTGTTGCACTTGCGACCCATTTGTGTCCATTTCTTGGTGCCAAAGAATAGCGATTTTTTAAAGTGACGTAAAAGATCCCATAGCAATTTGAATTCATATAAGAGTAGGCCTTAGTGCCTCTGTCTGGGCAAAATTTCCCTTATAACACACAGTATGGCGTATGCCCATCTTCATTAGCCCAGTCGGAGCAGAACAGTAGGACTTTAAAACCTGTTAAATTTCATTCCTCATACAAAGAGTTCAGTGACTAACAATCTTTGTTGTCCTTTTGTAAAATTTACTTCTTTGTCTTTTTTTAGAAAAACTACAGTACTTTTTGATTATGTTGGGTTGCAAGTTTATAAAAAATCTCCATTTTTTTTTAGAATGACTACAGTAATATTTGATTTTGCTGTGTGGTATTATTTTGTATTGATTAGTAATCTTGTTCTTTTTTAATCTCAAAAGCTGTAGTTAAAGTGATTTTATTTTCCAGTGTTTCTAGATAATCTTTATCGACTTCTAATTGCATGATTTCTTTTTATTTAATGTAATTTTGCATTGATTTGTAATCAGGGAAATTCCATAATCTGAAATTTTGTGCTTTTGTTGTTCTGTTTTTGATCGAATGATTAGCCACTTGAATGTTCCATTTTGAATCCTGGATGCATTAAGACAGAGAAGGTTAAAGAGATGAAGTTAGATAGTAATTAAGAGAAGAATAGGGTTTAGCACCCACTTAATACAAACTTGGTTATTTCGGGACTAGCACATGGTTCAATTTTATTTCAGGAGGTCTTTAGCAGTGGGAGGAAAGCCTAGGATCCGGAGTAAACCAACAAGGTTTGACAGCTGATCCTACTCCTTGTCATGAAAACACGCCACTTGACTCGATGACAGATCTTGTGATTTAGATAGTAATTAAGACATGAAATAGGGTTTAAACCTTTAGCACCTAGACTGCCCCGAACTGGACTAATTATCTACGACTGCTTAGACCGTCCAAAATTGCCTCGTCATGTGCATGAAAGTGGTGCCTACAAGAACTAGTGAATGGTCCTATAACATGGAAAGCTTGTGGGTTTTCTCTGGTTCCTCTGGTTTTCTCCCACAGCTAAAGATACAACACCCAAGAGAATTATTGAGAAATAAAATTGAACCATATATTAGTCCCAAAATGACCTAGTTTATGTGGATTGGATGTTAAACTCTCTCTCTCTCTCTCTCTCTCTCTCTCCTGCAGAAAAGCAGGAAGTTAAATCCAATTTTATTTCCTTTTTAACTGCCATTGCACAGATTGTCACCACATATAATAACTGAAACCAGAGGTATGGGTTTAAACACAGTACTTCCTCTATTTTCTTTCAATATTAACACATATTATGTTAGGTATGGACACTGTGTATATGTGGATATTTAGAATGTAGTCTCAAAATAACCTAGATATGGACACGGTGGGTATGGTGTATCTATAGAGATATATGTGTGAATGTTAATCTCAAAATGACCTAGGCATGGTAATAAGCTTTCGTTTCTTGTTTCTTATAAGAGAAATTTAACTTGTTGGCCTAGTATGTCTACATGAACAGTGTACATGTGAAGTATATATATATATATAGGACTATATATGTTGTCTTAAAGTCTCTAGTATATGTCGTGGGTGTTCAGGGTGTCGTCTCCAAATAACACGTGAAACCAGTTTATATTTCAATGATGCATCATCATGACTGAGGACAATTTCTTTGTGAATTAATAATTCTCCAAGATATTATTCTAAGTGATATAAGTTGGGATATTTAGGTAAAAGGAAGAAACTTTATTCTATTTTATAGGTTGAATGTGAGTTATAGATTATATATATTTCATGAGTTATAATAGATTATAGATATTTAAAATCTTTTTTGAATACGAATTCTCCTAAGATTATTGTACTAAGTGATAAGTTGGGATATTTTTGTAGAAAGGAAGAAAATTTAATTCATTTTATATCTTGAATGTGAGTTATAGAATATAGATGATATATATTTTGTGAGTTCTAACAGCTATACATATTTATATATGAAATTATGAATGACGAATGGACTTTTAAATGAGAACATGAATTGAGAATGATGTAATTTAGTTCTTATTAATATACTATTGTCCATTGTTCTCCAAGTTTGTCAATTATTTCAGGGCAGGTGTAGGCAATCTTTTACATACCATGCAGCAATTTCTTGTTCACAAATGAATTCAAATGCGCCACACAACCCTTGTACACCCCCACGCCCTACCCAACCCCATGACTATTTCTGATAAAAATATGTTTATACACATAATAGGCATTTTTACATTTGATAAAATTACTAAATCATAGTAAAAAATCCCTGGGAACAAACTTGACAAGACTGTGTATATTAAAAGGATTTATCAAGGACGCGTTTCGGGCGTTCGCCCTTTATCAACTGGTTACAAAAATGATCCCCTTGCCGGGTATATATAGACAATAGAATGGTTCCTGTTTTTCCTCGGATGCATCACTGAGATCCAAACTTGCCTGCACTGTTATGGGGAATCTTCCTTCTTTTCCTATCGAGTGTGAGGTTATATCGTCTCTTTCTTGTGATTATTTATTAAGATTACGAAATATAAATAGAATGTCTGATAAAGAAGATAAATAGATTAATATGGAAAAATAATGAGTAGGCTTAATTACTGCTTTACTTTATTATTATCACAGGGATGCAATGCGCAACTTCTAATCACCCATTGCGCAACATTTGGCGCCGAAGGTTGGTAATCTCTGTTTAGGGAGATAACTTAGGGGGATGTTGGCTGTTAGTAAATACGGTGGAATACTAACCTGGATTTACTGGCATGGTTTGCAACTTGTCAGAGGTGTTGGACGGTGGGCTTTGCAAGATACAGGGTCTTGTCATTCGGATGGAATGGAAAACAGGTCCTGTGTACACATAGGCGTGCATGTTAAAGAATCCATGACGGTTGGAATTTGAAATAAGAGTAAACAGTAACGTCACTTTTTGGGTTCAGAACTTCCCTCATACCACGCTGTGTTGAAATAAGAGTAGGCTGTAACACCTCTATTTGGGGCAGAACGTCCGTCATACCACATTGTTTTGAAAAGAACGCCTCTATTTGGGGCAGAACTTCCCACAAACCACACTGTTTTAAAAAAAAATGACTTTAAACCCTCATTTGATTTCATTCATTCATTCTATAAGTTACTAATTTATATTTTTCAGATTTAGATAAAAGAAATATAGGATGGGGAACTCAGGATCGAAGAAGACAAAATTGTCAAAAGAAGATTTATACTTCTTGGAGACAAATACAAATTTTGAAAAAGCAGAAATAAAACAGTGGTATAAAGGATTTATGGTGAGTATTTAAAAAAAAAAAAAAGATGTAGGGGGGGTGTAGAATGGTCTACCGTTGGCACTTTAGATCATAAGATCAGTGGATGAATCAACTGGCATTGTTTCAATTCCCAGCTTGTATGCGACAAGGGTTTTACGGATGGTATTTAAAAAATTGTTTTATCAGATTTTTAATGGGCGGTGAAATGAGTTGGGTGGCCGAATGGTCCAAATCCTACTCTTGAGAAAGGTATGTCATTGAGTTAAGTGGTGTGGTTTTGATGTCCAGCTTTTACATGACAAGGAGTAGGGTCGTCTGTTCAACCCCTTGGGTTTTCTCCTTGTATTCTGGTTTCCTCACACTGCTAATCCTAGATTGTGGCAAGTGGACATTAAACCCCATCTCTCTCCCTCTCTCTCTGTCTCTTGATGGTGGTGAGTGAGCACTTGCCCGAATATGATTTTTTTTTAATTTAAACCATTTCTGATAATTACTGTCAGAGTTATGGCCCTTGATCACTTAAGACGATTCTTTTGGGCACTTTAGCTTCGATTGATTTTCAACAATTTTCATTAAGTAATATCTGAGTTATGGCCCTTGATCCCTTAGAAAAATCTTTTGTAGGAGCGGATCCAGAGCCCCCCACTCAGCTACATAAAAAAAAAAAATTGTAAAACAACACTTTTATGACAAAAGTATAACAATTGTGTGCTTTATCTTTTATCATCATTTGGTTGGATGGGATGGGCATTCGAAGTGCAAGATAATGATATAGACATATGTGATATCACAATTAATGCTTTGCATCAATGAAATTGATCCTATTAATTCATAATAATAAAAATTGACATCCGATGGGGTGTTGGATTTCTATGTAATTGGAGACGATGCATTGTCAACTGTCAAATTTCCTTAACAGGAACCTGACAAACCCCAGCCTGCAAAAATCCTGGATCCGCCCCTGTTTTGGTCACTAGGTCTGATGTTACTTACATCATTAACCAAGTTTTGTCCCAGCACATTTTATGTATTATCATTGCTTGATAAAGATTAGAGAAGCCTAGTTGTAACGTGGCTCAGTAATAATAATAATAACTTTATTTAACGAGGCAACTTATTTAGTTTGCAAAAAAAACCTAATCTTCCATATAAGTCCCTCCTAAGCTACAAAGACATATATACATGAAATATCAGGATAAATTCAAAATCATTTGAAATGCAATAGCATATATATTATACAAGTAAAATATATGAAGAACTGTTTAATTATGTGTATGTAAACGTACTCCCTAGAGCCTAAGATAGTCATCTGATTGATTTGAAATTCATATGCTACACAGTGTTACTGTAAATGAAATAAAAAAGCCTATTGATTTTCAACGATTTCTGATAAAGTTATCATCCAATTACCGGTACATGTTTCATTTATGTAGCAGAAGGACGAACTAGAAATCTATCAAATTTAATTATGTCTGATATGTCTTCATGTGTTATTGCCCTTGATCTGTTTTTAGTGTCATGTATTGAATGCTCATGTTACCCACACACAAGAATAAACATGTGTCAACCTGTATGGGCGTTTGTTTCATTGCCTGACAACTTATCTTTTTAACACTGAATCACGATCTTTGGGTTGCTGAATGGTTAGCATGTGCACTCTGTATCAAAAGGCCTGTCGTTGAGTCAACTGGCATGGTTTCGAATCCCCGGTTGTATGTTTCAAGAAGTAGGGTCGCCTGTCCAACCTCGTGGGTTTTCTCTGGGTCCTCCGGGTTCCTCCCACTGCTAAAGACCCCTACCCGCAAGCGAATTATTGAAATAAAATTAAACCATATGTTAGTCCCAAAGTGACCTAGTTTGTGTCGAGTGAACGTTAAACCACCATTTTTCTGTCTCTCTCTCTCTCTGCATTGCTTTTTTTTTTTTCGAACTTGTAAGATATATCTTGATATATCGAAATTCAGAGTTGTCCTGATCCCTAATACTTGAAAACTACTCTCCAAAAGGCTGCTGTTGAGCATATATTTGTGGTATGGCAACACTGTTTTGTTCTTTATGCGAGCAATCTTTGCCATATAGGATGGGTGTAGTTATTCAGTTTGAGGTAAAAAAACAACAAAATATGTCATGAATCATCATGTTATGGTAATTGCTTTCTTTAATAATAATAAAACAAAAAAACTATCAAAAGAAAAATCTTAACTCAAGTCAAGCAAGGTAAACAATTTAAAAATGCAATGGAGACAGTGTCTAGTCATTCAGATGCAACAATAAACCGAGGTCCTGTGTACACATGAAAGATCCCTTGGCAGATAGAATACGAAAAAGGAGTAGGCTGTAAAGCCACTGGCCTGGCAAAATTTCCCTCATCATAGCATCTTGTATGGCATATGCACGTCTTCATTAGCCCAGTCGGTGCAGAACTGTAGGTCGTTAAACCCCATTTCATTTGATTTCGTTTATTCAGTTTGACGTCAGAAAAAAAGGATTGAGTATGATTCATCATGTTATCTATGGTAATAAGGTTCTTGGAAAAAAAACAAACAAACAAGTCAACCAAGATAAACTATTTAAAAAAGAACCACTTGTCATTTTCGATAATTTAAGGAACGCTGCATCTATACTGATAAGTACGGTATTTACTTGTTACCCTGTAGCAATATTTGATTTAGTTAGAAAACGGATGAATGTCAAATATTGAACCATTTCATTTAACTTCAGCCAAACTTCTGCCTTCAGCTTCCATTTTTTTCTCGTTAAACTTTTGTTACTCTCTTCTCTATTTCTCATATTTTTAGTTCAAGTTTCATCACTGGTCGTGTTAAGCACAGATGAGTCTAGACTTTCTGAATTAATCAGAAATTAATATATAATATTTCACTTGTTTTCCTATCCTTTTTTTGGGGCATAATTTTGTCAGTTCTCAAAACTGGTGATTTATTGATATGATTTATAATGGATGCTGATAAAATAGAGAGGCTTTAAGAATTACATCGAGGCTTTGGAATAAATCACTGGATTTTTTGAACAAAACGAAAAAAAAACCCAGATAGTTTTTTTAAATATCTCGGTTATAGATTATTGGTTCTGTGAGAGGAGCCTCGGTGGCGCAGCGGTTAAGACACTGGTTCGCTAGCCTGTAGGTCTTCGGTTCTCACCTTGTTGTCTAGTCATTTGGATGGTACATTAAACCAAGGTCCCATGTACATATTGGCATGTACGTAAAAGAACCCTTGACAGATGGAATTTGATATAAGAGTAGGCCCTAGCACTGCTGTATGTGCAAAATTTCCCTAATAGCACACTGCATGGCGTATGCCCATCTTCATTAGCCCTGTCGGTGCAGAACAGTAGGGCGTAAACCTCACATTTCATACTACTTCCAAGGGTTTGGATGGCTGAATGGTTACGGTGTGCACGTTGTATCATCAGGTCTATCATTGAGTCAACTGGCATGGTTTCGATTCCCTGGTTGTCCGTGACAAGGAAAAGGTCACTTGTCCAGGTCGTCTGGCTTCCTCCCACTGGCAAAGACCCCTATGTGCAAGTGAATTATTGAAATAAAATTGAACCATATGTAACTCCCAAAATGACCTAGTTAAAACCCATTTATCTCTCTCTCCCATACTACTTTAATTTTTTTTACAAAACTACTGTAAGGAAGCATCAGAAAGCTCTACCAGTGCAGCACCATGAAAACAGGTAGTTTGATATAAATACATATGGTAATTTATTGTTTATTTACAGAGGGATTGCCCGAGTGGCACATTATCGAAAGAAAAATTCAAGGAAGTGTACTCCCAGTTTTTCCCAGGAGGGGATCCTAAAGATTTCTGTGAACATGTGTTTCGATCATTCGATAAGGACCATAGTGGATCGATAGAATTTAAAGAATTCCTTTTAGCAATAAATATAACATCTCAGAAAGGTAAAGCAGAGGATAAATTAAATTGGGCGTTTGATATGTATGATATCGATGGTAATGGAACGATAGATCATAAAGAAATGGAGAGCATCATTCAGGTAAATAAAATATTTTTAATTATTAGGTGGGGGGTAGGCGGTCACGGTGGCTAAGTGGGTAAGATGCTGGCTGGGTAGCCTGGGGTTCGCGTGTTCATCCAGATACAGGATGGAGGGCCTGACAAGGACAGCTGTCTAGTCGTTCAAATGGTACGAAAAATTGAGGTCCCGTGTACACATTCGCATGCACGTAAAAGATCCCTTGACAGTTGAAATTCGATATAAGAGTAGGCCGTAGTGCTGCTGTCCGGGCAAAATATCCCTCATAGCACACTGTATGGTGTATGCCTGTCTTCATTAGCCCAGTTCAGAGCAGAACAGTAGGACGTCAAACCCTATTTCATTTCATTTCTGTTGTCGAGTCAAATGGTGTTGTTTCGATCCCAATCCTGTTCCTATTTTCCTTAGTGAGAGAAGGAGGTTGAGTGGAGTCAAGTGGCATGGTTTCGATCTGAAGCATGCTCCAAGTTTCCTGAGGGGGTTGGGGGCCAAATGGTCTAATGTGTGCACTTTAGATTGTAGGGGCCTGACAAGGATAGCTGTCTAGTCCTTCGGATGAGATAAAAAACCGAGGTCTCGTGTATACATTGGAATGCACGTAAAAGATCCCTTGGCAGTTGGAATTCGATATAAGAATAGGCGATAGTGCTGCTGCCCGGGCAAAATTTCCCTCATAGCATACTGTATGGCGTATGCCCATCTTCATTAGCCCAGTTCAGAGCAGAGCAGTAGGACTTTAAACCCTCATTTCAGTTCATTTCTGTTGTAGAGCAGAACAGTAAGATGTTAAACCCCATTTCAATTCTCTTCTGTTGTTGAGTCAAATGGTGTTGTTTTGATCCCAAGCGTGCTCCTATTATCCTTAGTGAGGGAAGGGGGTTGAGTGGAGTCAAGGGCGTGGTTTTGATCTCAAGCATACTCCTATTTTCCTGCGGGGGCGCAGGATAAATGGTCTGTGTGAGCTTAAGATCATAAGGTCTGTTGTTGAGTCAAGTGGCCTGATTTTAAGATTGCTACAATTTAATCAAATAAAATGGATCCATATTTTATTCCCGAAATCACCTGGTTTGTGTCGTGGACATTGAGCCCCATATCCCTCTGTCTCACACTCTCTGGATAAATGTAGTACCTTGAAATGTGATGTGGGTGCTTTTTTTGTTGCCTGGCAACCTATCTTTTTTTTCTGAAGGACGAATGTTATTTTAATCTGATCTCTGGGCTTAATACCTTTATATAATTGCTCACTTATCTACCTTAATCAAGGAGTTGGCTTCGGACATCACCAAACCTTACTGAAAAGTGTTTTTTTTTCTGAAGGACAGATGTTATTTTAATCTGATTGTGGTTGTAATACCTTTATTTAATGCTCACTTGTTTAATAATAAACCCATTGTAACAACAGACAGGATGAGAATCCCTTCTATTATCCTAATATGGATATTACCATCAATATAATCTATAGAGCGGAAAACTCTTCTCACACTCACTCTACAAACAGAATAGATGCAGATCTCGGGGGTTCGTCACCCTTGGGCTTAATTTGACCCCTTGACCTCTGGTTTTATATTAAGAGATGGTGAGTGAGAATAGATGATATTCCGCATCACTGGACCGCCACTGATATGTTATGCCATAAATAACGTATGAACACTATAGGGAAGGGATATGTTTCGATTAATTAAATGATTAAGAACTTATGATCCTGGGGTCAAATGTTCACTATCTGTGTCTGTGTTGGACTATTTTTGGACTGATATTCCTTTTAACACATTCAAATTTCACAATATTGTAGTTTGCTAAAGGTTCAAAGTCCTTCAAATGGCGATCGGAGGCTTTAGAATTCTAAATCTATAAAATAGCTACAGTTTATATGATGAATTTAATTAAATGATTAGGCAGGGTCAAATGTTCGCTAGATGTTTCTGTCTTGGATTAGTCAGGGTGGTTGAGTGGTCTAATGCATGCAGGGGTGTTGGATGGCCGATTGGTTAGCGTGCGTGCTGTATCATAAAGCCTGTCATTGAGTCAACTGGCGTGGTTTCGAATCCCCGGTTGTACGTGACAAGGTGTAGGGTCGCCTGTCCAACCTCGTGGGTTTTCTCCGGGTCCTCTGTTTTCTCCCACTGCTAAAGACCCAAAATGACCTAGTTTGTGTCGAGTGGCCGTTAAACCCCATTTCTCTCTCTCTCTCTGTCTCTCTCTGTCATTTTGTCAAGTAGTATTGTTAGGATCTCAGGGTTAAGTCAAATGTTCACTAGATGTTTCTGTCTTGGAGTAGAGGCTGTCGAGTGGTCTAATGCGTGTGCTTTAGATCATTGAGTTCTGTAGAATGTTCACTATATATCCCTGTTTTGAACCATTTTTGGTTCCTTAATTAAGAGATTCAATTATCACAATATTGCTGTTTGCCAAAGATTCCAAATATCTCGATTGACAAAATAACTGGACTTAGAGAAATAGCGACAGCAGCTCCGTGAATTTGGTGCTGGCTCACAAACCAGGAGTTCTTGGGTTTGACCCTGACTCTACCATGGTTCTATCGATGAGGAGCCGCAGTGGCTCAATGAGTAAGACACTGAATTGCTAACCCGACGGTCTCTGGTTCGTTCCTGGTATTGGCCGAGAAAGTTACTCTGGATTTTCTTTTGCGGTTTCCCCTTGCCAGTGGTGCCAGGATAGAGGGTCAGGTAAGGAAAAGCAACTTGCTTTTTGGATGGGACAAAAAACACTGAGGTCCTGTGCTCACACTGGCATGCACTTAAAACAACCCATAGCAGTTTGAATTCGTTGAATAGTAGGTGGAAAAGATCACTGTACTGGCAAAATTTCCCTCATGGCACAGAGGGTTGTGTAGTTGAATGGTTAACGCGTGCACGTTTGATCCTAAGATCTGTCATTGAGTCAAGTTACATGGTTTAGATTCTCTGTTTGTACGTGACAGGAAGTAACGTTGCCTGCCCAACCTCGTGGGTTTTGACCCGATCCTCCGACTGCTAACAGATTCATATACGCTAGCAAATTATTGAAATAAAGTTGAACCATATGTTAGTCCCAAAACGGCGTGGTTTGTATCGAGTGGATGTTGAACCCCATCTCTCTCTCTCTCTCTCTCTCTCTCTCTCTCCCCAACCTCCCCCTCCCTCCTCCCCCCCCCCCATCATGCTCTGAATCAGGTATGCTTACTCTCAAACTAATCATTAATGATGCATAAAGGTGAGATGGATTCTGATTTTGCTATAACCTTCTGACCTTTATTTATTTGAATATTCATGAGTATGTTAATGATATTGCTATACGATAAGATAGAGGGATCGTGATAATTTGTTTTTAACGGTTTTGCTAAATTACTATAAAGTACAAACAGCCCATTATTAACCCTTTAGCATTTGACTAGTCCAGTTCCTTGAAGAGAATTTGATTCTTGATAATCTGTTTTTAACTGCTTTACTTATTACAATAAAAAAAAATATAGTGCATTATTAATGTGACTCTATTAATGTTTGGTAGAGAACAGAGCATTAGTTTAATATATAACGTTTTGGATTGTGATCAGTTTTTAACTGTTTTACTTATTACAATAAGGGATCTGGATGGCCGAATGGTTAGCACGTGCGAGCTGTATCATACGGTCTGTCATTGAGTGAACTGGCGAGGTTCGATTCCCGGTTGTACGTGACAAGGAGTAGGGTCGCCTGTCCATCCTCGTGGGTTTTCTCCGGGTCCTCCGGTTTCCTCCCACTGCTAAAGACCCATACGCGCAAGCAAATTATTGAAATAAAATTGAACCATATGTTAGTCCCAAATTGACCTAGTTTGCGTCGAGTGGACGTTAAACCACATTTCTCTCTCTCTCTCTTATCACAATAACCTCTGAGCTTTCGATCTACAGGAGGGATTATCGATATCTCTTTTTAGAATGAACTTATCGAATTTCCAGGAAGACTCATAATTTGTTGGTGTTTTCATGGATACCAGACAAACTACATTGGCTTGGCCCTATTGGTGCAGAAAAGTGTGACGTTAAACTTCCCTAATTAAGTTTCCTTTCATTTAGATAATTAAGTTTACTACATTACTAAAGATTTTTTTTTTTTTTTTACCTTTCTTTGTCACTGGAAGAAAAATACGATCTTGCTGAAGTAAAACCACTAATTTGATTAAAGTCTATAAAATCAACACTAATAGCTTTTTTTTCCCAGTAATGTGTCTTTTGAATAGGTTTTTTTTTCGGGGGGGAAAGTGAAAGTCATAAAAACAGTACTTTGAATAATTGAACAGACGTGAAGGTCAAGGTGAAGATTGACAGGTTTAAGTTGTTTGAAAACGTATCATATATATATATTGAGTTAGTTGCTCTACCCTAAGGCATTTTAACACAAAATTAAACAGTTTTATTCTCCAAAATATAATCGAGATTGGCCCATGAATAATGAATGAAAAAAATTGCTATGTGATGAATAAAAAAACCTCCTGGATTCTCGTGTTTTTTCATTGCTGGCCTCCTGTTTTTTTGTACCTGGGTTTTGTTGACATGTCTGGGTTGTTTATGAGTTGCATCATTAATTTCTTTTGTCACCCGAATTTACAAAAGCAAAAGAAAAACCAGGAAGTTCTTAATGTTTTAAAAAAAGATTGTGGTTATTGACAAAGAAAAGCCATGAATTTTGTATGGTTTCAGAAAATGTGTTGTTGATTGGTTTAATAGTAGTATTGAAAAATAAAAAGAAAAAGCAGGAAGTATTGAAATTGTTTCTGAAAACATGTTGGTGATTTTTTAAATGATATTGGAAAGGTTCTATCTCCACCATTTAAAGGAGCTCAATCGCTAACATTTGGGACCTAGAAATTCACAAAAGTGGGTCGCAACGCATATAATACTGTAATATGAATGTATATAAACTGATTTACATTTAATGGTTTCCGTTTTTACTCCAATTTCAAATCAGTTATGTTCGGCAAAATAAGTCAGCAATCTCAATCGAGTTCAAATTTCTAGCGTC